CTTCAACTCCACTTCCAGCATGCATACATACAGATGTTGATGGCAGAGGAACTCTCTCAAACACAGAATCAGCAATAAGCGTGAGATGGCGCACGGCGCCCACACAGAAAACTCAGAGATATGGCCTCTGGCCAGGAACGCAGTAAAGTCAACTTTCACAACTTGCAGCTATGGCTGCTGAACGCTGTCTGAATTCCCACCTGAACACTTTATCCACCATCAGACACTTCCTACTCCCTCACGCATATGTTCACACGCACTAGGATCTACCCTGAATGTCCATGCATACACACCACGCACACACACACACACCTGTTGCTCGACACTGGCAGCTATGGTCGCCGTCTCCCTCCTGCTGTCTTCTACCTAGCGCCGTCATCCGGGAGACCAGAGCTACGAGGAAGCACTTTATGGAGCAAGGCAGAGACTTGCAGAATGGCAAAAATGGAGAAACAATGGCTTGTGGCTCAGAAGTAGAATAAGGGAACTTGAGAAAGGCGAGAAAATATCCCCGGACAAGAAGATAGATCAGCTGAGAGTAGAAGACAGACTGACGACAGATCCCGACAAGCTCCCTGCAGTAGCAGCGGACTTCTACAAGAGGCTATACACCACCACGGAGGAGCAGCATCCTGCAGAATTAGTTCAAGAAAAGTAGCAGAAGTTCCTCTCATATCTCGACAGGAAGCTCACTCGGGATCAAACAGAGTCTGGACAAGCCGATTACACCGCAGGAGGTGAGGGATGCCCAGCATTCCCTCCAGCCAAACAAAACAACCGGAAGGGACGGCCTCTCGAAAGAGTTCTGGCAGGCCTTTTGGCCCGTTTTCGAGAGTGAGTACATGGGCTTTCTCCGAAGAAGTGAAACCAACGAAGGGTTGGGCAAACACATAAGCACGGGAGTGGTCACCTTGCTGTATAAAACAGGGATCCAGCCGTCATCAGGAACTTTAGGCCAATCACGCTGCTGCAAGTGGGCTACAAAATTTTGGCGAAGGTGTTGGCCAACAGACTCAGCACCATCACTAACCACTGTTTTCACATCGATCAGACGGAGTTTATCGCGGGCAGATTCATACTTGACAATATCATGATGCGGACTTAGGTACAAAAAAGATAAGAGACTGAACACAGCCATCATCTTCTTCCACTTCGAAAAGGCATACGGCCAAGTCAACTGGAATTTTCAGCAGCAGTGTATGGAGAGAATGGGGTAGGGTCCCAACTTTCGGTGCTGGGTGAGGGTATAAATATAACAACGCCAATGGGCAAGTGCAGGTGAAGTTGGGTGTATTTGGAGTTCTCTGTCATTCTCACTTTTGCGCGTTTCAAATTGGAGGACACTTATGTCATGGCTTCTGGAACTCTTCTACAATAAAACGTGGGAATTCCCATGGGCAAGTCGTCAAGCCCTGCTTTAGCATGCTTGTTGTGTGATTTTAATGAATTCTTATTTCTCTCATCCTTGGGGTCTAAAAGAAATCTGTTTCGAGGATTCTGGCTGGTTGATGACGCCTCCGTTTTTGCGGTATACACGTCAGATGATGCTTCTCTCAGGCCTTTGACATTCTGCACCCATTCCAACAGTGCTATGACAGGAACCTGACATTAAAGCAGACGAGTAGTGGTGATGTTGAGACTACCTGGGCTGTGTTTTGAAGGTTTCTAATGGATCGACTGAACTGGCATGTATGCCATGCCATAAGAATCAGAGGGGTCCGGTACGTGGTGAACTTGTGTTTCAGAGCATCCAGGACTTTTGCTCGTACTCCAGCAACGCGCAGAAGATTGCTGTGATTTTGTGTTTTTTCCACCGTGCCGAACGTTTTGGAACTGTCCCTGGTACTGAGTTTCCCTTTTTTTTCCGCTAAAAACGGAACTATGGAAGCGTGGATATCCTGATGATGTTTTCGATGATGCACTGACTAACTGGTAACTTCTCACGGAAATTTGGGGGGATTTGGCAGCCACGGGTCTTGGTACTGTGTAACCGCGCGTTCATTGAACGCGGGTTTTCCACTCAATTTTTGAACGGAATGAACGCGTGTTCAATGAACGCGACCGAACACGCCGTTCAATTCCGCAGTTCGTACCTCCGCCAGTGTTGGGAAATTATGATGTCTTGGCCAGTACCCGAACTTTTCAGGGTGGGACACAGGGTCGGCAATGTCCCATAAATCTGAATTTTATAGTGACGGAAAAAGGGGAAAAAAAAAATGCTTTCTCTACTGCCATGATGTCGGGCTGGGTAGTCCAGGAGGCCGTGCTCACAATCTTCCTCCACAGAATGCACCTTACAGGTCAGTTGGTCACATTCTGAATGTTAGTGTTTTCTTTTTTTTGTTGGTCGTGTGTTTCTTATGAGTCCCCTGTCCGTGAATTGCTCAAGCTGTCTGTGATCTGCTCAAGCTGTGTTTTGTCAAAGGATTGTAAGGCTCATCACACTGGCACTTAGGGGAATGTATCCAGCCATTTTCATGGCCGGATCCATGTGCCCATTTTTTTCCCCTTTTATTCTCTTTTTGGAATCTGACAACCTGGCCACGCGGCGGAGATGCTCTCATTGAGGGCACTCTCACACTACCACTTCCAAGAATGAATACAACTGCAATCACGGCGAAAGCTTTGTTTCCTTTTTTTTTTTTTTCCTGAGGTTCACGGCCGCAACTTTTCTTCTTCCTTTTTGTTTTTTTTTGTTCTTTCCATGAGAGTACCAGAAAGAAAACGGAGTGTTACCCAGGCTTGGCAAAACTCGGAGTGCAGTGAAATTCAGGGTCGGCGAAAACAGGCTCGGAGGTACTGGTGGTTGAAAAAA